AGAAAAAAAAATATTTATTTTAAATATAAGAAAAAATACAATTAACTTATGATATGTTATAAATATAAATATTTTTAATTTGTTAAATAACTATATACAAACACTATAGACTTTATAAGAGTTTTTAATAAACTTAGTTATTTATTTATATAGAAAAATTCACAGCAACATAGAAAATTCACTAACTAAATATATTTACTTTATCTTAATTGACCATATATATTTAATTTACTTTGATTTACTTTGATGGACTAAACATATTTTTAAAGTACATAAAATAGTAATTTAATATTGTTGTGCGAAAAATTCATCGAATCGAAATTAAATAACTCATCTCAGTTTAAAAGTTTAAAATAATGAATTTATGAATAATAAATTTATGGATTTTTTTATATATATTTTTTTCATTTTTTAATATATGACTTAAATTTATATAAATTAATTGGTGTAAATTTTATTAAAATATTCAACATTCTTACATTTTGCTAGACTTCATATTTTTTGTTTTGTTTGGAATTTTATTACAATGTATTAATGTTTTGTTAAGTACCGTGATTTTTTTTTAGAAAGTTGATAAAATTAATTAAACATTATACTATTAAACTATATATTATATATTTTATTTAATAACATAATAATAAGCATGATATAAAAGTATTGATTCAAATATAATAAAATTACAATTAAATTATTTAATAAAATATATAATTTTATATATGGATCTATAAATTATATTGTTTTTAAGAATTAATTAATATCTTGTAGTAAGATTAAATTTTTCTTAACTTTAACCTTAACCTTGTTAATCTTCATTGAAGTTTTAAAAGATTTTTTTTCAAAAATAAATTAGGAAGAATCAATGGATGGATGACAGATGAAGCTGATAATTTTACTTTCAATAGACTTAACTTGTCCTTTGTTAAAACTGAATTGAAAAAAAACTTTTATTAAAAAAATTGTTAATATATAAAGTCCTATTAGTTTATGCCTTACAAATTACACAAGAGTCTTTCTTCAATTCGTTTTAACAACTTTACAACTATATCTATTAAAAACCATAGTTACACATAAGCCAAAAGGATGACATATATTTACATCCTCTATTTTATCTTTTGTATAGATATTGAAATTTATTTTATAATGATACTTTGACAATATTTTAACCGAATAACACATAGATGAAAATATTGTAAAAAATATTGTTAAAATATTATTATCCTTTATGATACTGTATACTTCTAAAAATGAGTTATTAAGTCGTTCATATGAACTATCACAAAATCACTTTTCAAGAAAGAAAACTACCATTCCTAGCTCCTAATAAATATAGATTAAACAAATTTAATAATAAGGCTAAATATATGCGTAACTTAAATTATAAACTCAAATTTTTTCGCTAATTTATAACAATATTTATATTTATTTGCATCCATACATATGAGTGGGCATCATTTCACAAAATTCAGTAATTTATTTAATTAATATAGTACTATATATCATCATTGCATGCTACATATCCAGGCATGATAGCATAAGATATCGTATATTAATATCCACCACCAATTTCTCCATCGCTACCTGCATGACCACTACCAACTCCAATGCCTCCAAAGTCCCAACCATCACCACCTTCAGCTTCTCCTCCACAGTCTCCACCAGCTCCTCCTCCAATGCCACCATCAGCTCCTCCTCCGATGCCACCATCAGCTCCTCCTCCAATACCACCATCAGCTCCTCCTCCAATGCCACCATCAGCTCCTCCTCCTACACCACCTAAGCCTCCATCAGCACCACCTCCAATGCCATCATCAGCTCCTCCTCCAATGCCATCATCAGCTCCTCCTCCTACACCACCTAAGCCTCCATCAGCACCACCTCCTGTGCTCCCACCAGCACCTCCTCCTCCTCCTCCAATGCCGCCATCACCACCTCTATCTTTACCGCCGCCTGAGCCCCCACCAGCACCACCATCTCCTCCTCCTACACCTCCTTGAACCCCACCACTTCCTCCTCCGACACCACCACCATGTCCCCCACCAGCTTCTCCTCCGATCCCACCAGCTCCACTACCTCCTCCTAAACCCCCATCAGCACCACCTACTACACCTCCTCCTTTACCACCTCCAGCACCGCCCCCGGTTCCACCACCTCTAACTCCACCTTTGTGTCCACCTCCAACGCCGCCGCCATTATCAACTCCACCTCCAACACCGCTTCCCGTACCATCTCCAACGCCACCGCCATTACCAACTCCACCTCCAACACCACCATATCCACTTCCTGTGCCGCCTCCAGCACCTCCTCCAGCTCCACCGCCTGGAACTGCATGTCCTCCTTTACCACCTCCACCAACACCACCATCTGCCCCGTCACCACCAACTCCTCCTCCTATGCCACCACCAGGCACACCTTCACCGACTCCATAACCCCCACCAGCACTTCCTACTACACCACCGAAACCTTCACCATCGCCAAAACCACCACCTTCAAAGTCCCCAGGCAATTCATCATCTTTGATTTTTCGACATTCAGCTGTCACTATGACTAGCAAAATGAACACAGTAAGTGTTCCAACACTCTTACGTACCATATCGCTCTCTGAACAATCACACAAACTCAAACTAGAAATGTTTGTGCGGCTTGCGATTTGAAATCTAACAGAAAGTAGTATTTATAGTGGAAGCCACAGTGCGTGCCATTAATTCACGTAGTTCAGATCTCTCTTTCACTCTCGTATCCATGGTACTACCATCCATCACTTGCCAAAAAAGTTCAAACTCCTTTGGAAAATCTGTAACCAAATTTTTCAATTCCATTCCTTTTTCGCCATCTAATAATACAATATATTTTCAACTGTTTAAGTATAAGTTGTTAAATCATGCAAAACTTACCAATGCCATGCGTCATTATATGTTTTTCTCTGTTTACCGATAGTTTTTTATTAGGTAGCAGTTGACTTTTCACACAGATTCCACAATGGCTTTTACAATGGTGGGACAAGTGCCACCAGCTTGGTCACGTTATACGATGAGGTTACTAATATCAAATTTAACTGCCCACAATTTATCTCAAAATGGATGAAAATTAGTGGCTCTTTATTCATCCTTGACTTTCGTTCATAAAATTTTCCCCGCAAATAAAGTATCTGTTGATGAGCTCAAAAAGTGGCAGCAAACGCAGATGCTTAACCCTTTTCCAGTGGAAAAATCAATTCAAATTAAATTTACTATTTTTGTTCAATTTTTTCGTAATTTTTCCAAACTAAACTAAGATCTCTTTGTATCTGTTAAAAACAATAAGGGTAGTAATGGCGAGATTTTCACAAGTTTGGTGCATTTTTTCATACTCTGGCCCATTAAGTATTCGCCGACTCTTTCTTTTTTATAGGAAAATAATTCATTCAGTTTATTGTATATTTACAGAAAAAAAATGTAGTTTAAATAGATAATAGCTGTAATAATTCCGTTACAATTGTATAAATACGTATAAAGTAAAGGGTTAGTTTGCTACAGCCATTCATGGATATATCAGTNACAATGTATTAATGTTTTGTTAAGTACCGTGATTTTTTTTTAGAAAGTTGATAAAATTAATTAAACATTATACTATTAAACTATATATTATATATTTTATTTAATAACATAATAATAAGCATGATATAAAAGTATTGATTCAAATATAATAAAATTACAATTAAATTATTTAATAAAATATATAATTTTATATATGTATCTATAAATTATATTGTTTTTAAGAATTAATTAATATCTTGTAGTAAGATTAAATTTTTCTTAACTTTAACCTTAACCTTGTTAATCTTCATTGAAGTTTTAAAAGATTTTTTTTCAAAATTAAATTAGGAAGAATCAATGGATGGATGACAGATGAAGCTGATAATTTTACTTTCAATAGACTTAACTTGTCCTTTGTTAAAACTGAATTGAAAAAAAACTTTTATTAAAAAAATTGTTAATATATAAAGTCCTATTAGTTTATGCCTTACAAATTACACAAGAGTCTTTCTTCAATTCGTTTTAACAACTTTACAACTATATCTATTAAAAACCATAGTTACACATAAGCCAAAAGGATGACATATATTTACATCCTCTATTTTATCTTTTGTATAGATATTGAAATTTATTTTATAATGATACTTTGACAATATTTTAACCGAATAACACATAGATGAAAATATTGTAAAAAATATTGTTAAAATATTATTATCCTTTATGATACTGTATACTTCTAAAAATGAGTTATTAAGTCGTTCATATGAACTATCACAAAATCACTTTTCAAGAAAGAAAACTACCATTCCTAGCTCCTAATAAATATAGATTAAACAAATTTAATAATAAGGCTAAATATATGCGTAACTTAAATTATAAACTCAAATTTTTTCGCTAATTTATAACAATATTTATATTTATTTGCATCCATACATATGAGTGGGCATCATTTCACAAAATTCAGTAATTTATTTAATTAATATACTACTATATATATCATCATTGCATGCTACATATCCAGGCATGATAGCATAAGATATCGTATATTAATATCCACCACCAATTTCTCCATCGCTACCTGCATGACCACTACCAACTCCAATGCCTCCAAAGTCCCAACCATCACCACCTTCAGCTTCTCCTCCACAGTCTCCACCAGCTCCTCCTCCAATGCCACCATCAGCTCCTCCTCCGATGCCACCATCAGCTCCTCCTCCGGCTTCAGGCGGCTAATGGTATAAAGATAGAGGTGGTGATGGCGGCATTGGAGGAGGAGGAGGAGGTGCATGTGGAGCACAGGAGGTGGTGCTGATGGAGGCTAGGGGTTTTTTTTTTTTGTAGGAGGAGGAGCTGATGATGGCATGGAGGAGGGCTGGATGATGGCATTGGAGGTGGTGCTGAGGAGGCTTAGGTGGTGTA